GGAACATCACCATGTAGCGGAGCACTAGGTGATAGGTTCAAAACATGAACCACGGTGCTCAAAGCTTCACCCCAAAAGGAATTCGGCAAACCTGACTGAGAAATCAGACAGCGAACTCTCTCCATGATCGTCCTGTTCATCCTTTCCGCCAACCCATTCAACTGTGGTGTCTTCGGTGGTGTCTTCTCATGCCTAATGCCTTGTTCACGACAATAAGCATCAAACGGTCCGGAGTATTCACCTCCATTGTCACTTCGGATACACTTCAACTTCTTCCCAGTCTGTCTCTCCACCAAGACTTGAAACTGCTTGAAGATACCCAGAACTTGATCCTTAGTCCTCATCGTATACGCCCACAGTTTCCTCGAATGATCATCGATAAATGTGACGAAATATGAGGCACCACCCATTGATCTCGTCTTCAATGGACCACACACATCTGAGTGTACCAAATCGAGAATCTCTGATTTTCTCGAAGGTATAGAAGACTTAAACACAACTCTGTTTTGTTTTCCTGCAAAACAGTGATCACATTTCTTTAAATGTAATCCTGAGACTCCTTGTAGAATCTCCTTCTTTGCCAGCACAGACATTCCTTTCTCACTCATGTGTACGAGTCTTTTGTGCCATAACTTAATAGCATCTTCACTCTCTAAGGCATTAATGATATCCTTAGAAAGCTTAGCATGCATCAAGTAAAGCGACGAAGACTTCGTACCTCGAGCCACAACCATGGAACCTCTCGTAAGTTTCCATTGACCTCCACTGAATGTACTGCAGAAACCTTCATCATCAAGTCTTCCCGCTGAGATCAAGTTCAGACGAACATCTGGAACATGCTTAACATCTTTAAGCATAAGTCTAGTACCAAGACTAGTCTCCAAGCAAACATCTCCAATGCCAACGACTTGAGCTGAACCATCATTGCCCATCTTGACGGAACCAAAGTTACCCGGAGTATAGGTAGCAAAGAATTCACGTCGTGATGTAGCATGAATGGAAGCTCCACTGTCAATCACCCAACTGGTCTCATGGCACGTGAGATTGATCATATCACCATCGACCATGATCAGGAACTCTTGCCTTGCAACTGCAACTCGTTCCTCGTTGTCCTCCTGTTTGTTTCCTTTCTTGTTGTCCTTCTTCAATTTCCAGCAATCTTTCTTGATATGCCCTTTCTTGTGGCAGTAGTGACATTCCACATTTGCAAATTTGTTGGATTTGCTCCTGCTCCGATTTTTCTCCTTCGGATTCCGATTCTGAGTCCTCCCCCTCGATTCAGATACCAGAATATCAGAACTCGAGGAAGCTCCTTGAGACTGTCTCCGTGTCTCTTCATTTAGAATACTGTTCTTTGCGTATTCCATCGAGATGACACCGTCTTGAGCTGAGTTTGACAATGACATC